AGCATCCATTGTAAGTGATTTCATCAGCATTTGAAAAAGCTTACAAATATTTTGACTTTAATATTACTTTAAGGTCCTAACCGATGTGGCCATTTAGCGATGCGATTAACAGTGAGTGCCATTGGGTTTCCAGGTTTTGTGTGTAAAATTGTCACTTTTGAGAAATTAAAAAAAAAAAAAAAAAACGCTACTATTCCATCTGTTACCCTAGTATGATAACAAGGCGGAATTTACCTTCAGCTGTAATAAGCTTTTTACCTCTTGTGCTCGAGTGAGACACAATTGACAAGCGCGGCAATTGTGTGATGTGGCAATCTAAAAAAGATATTGCAGTTCTGTAAATGGAATGAGCTCTCTCCCCGCGGACCGGGAAGGCGAGAATACACGCTCTGTGCATTCAGTGGATTTCAAAGGTCGCATTGTCTGAAAGGGGTGCAAGTCACATAAATCACACCTTAGATGGTTTACAAGGTACATGGAGGAGACCCTCCCGCATTGACTCCACAGGTGACAACAACAGCCGAGGCGCACAAAGACACAATAATGGCGATTGTGCTGGCGCTGTAGGTGACAGAATTCAGCTCTCTAAAGCCAAGGACGGTTTTGTGCTCAGGGTCATCGAAGCGCTGGGTTTGAATTCGCAAGGCCACCCTTTGTGCGAATGAATGGGCCATACCTTTTAGGTTTACAGCATATGAACTTCACTGAGAATTCAGTTAAAAGATACCAATGAGCTGCGAGTAACAAATATGTGTTCTAGGATTCTTATTTTTGCCTTCAAAACTGAGCCGTGCGAATCGTGTTCCAATTACATTTTGACCATGAAGGTCTAGTATGTGGAAGCAAATGCTTCATTCAGGAATGACAGAACATACAAAAAAAAATGGAAGAGGTCAGGGCATGTTAAGCAGCTACACACAGGGTTTATTTCTAAGCAATTCACAAAGCGTTTTCCTTGGAATCTCTGGGAATGTTCGTTCTGTGAGAATAGAGGCAAAAATGAACGTTCTTAGTATTATTTATTTTCAGGTCAAATGTAGTGTAATACTGCAATATTACCACTAGATGAAGCCGAGGAGCATAGGAAATAAATACTTATTTCCTATGTTCCTCAGCACCATCTAGTGGCCATAAAGCAGTGTTTCATTACATTTGACCTGGAAAGAAAATATACTATTGCAGGGTTTGCAGGGCGTATGGCACTGCCAATTGTTTATAAATTGACCCCATAACATTTTGTTATATTTAGGCCCTATTTACATTTGGCACATGAACGGATGCATCGGTTTTGCCTATTTTTGCCACATTTGTTCTGCATCAATATATAGGGCAGCCCATTCATTTGCAGGACAAATGCGGCAAAGTTTATGCAGCTGTTTAAGCTGCAAGCTTTGTGCATTTATTGACTGCGCATTTCCGTGCAGCAGATTGATCATCTTACATACTGTAGTTACATAGTATTTGAGGTTGAATAAAGACACGGGTCCATCAAGTCCAACCCATAGCGTGTATGTATGGGATTCTGCACGTGTATGCGTGTGTATGAGTCCCTATGATCTTGTTTTTAAGGGAGAAAAGAACATGGACATGTGCTGTTGAGTCACCACTGAGAGGGGATCAGAGCTGCTAAGTCACTCATAGGAGAAGGGAGGTGAGCTGTTGAGTCACTGCTAGGAGGTGGGAGCAGGTGGAACTGAACTACTGAGTCATTGCTGTGAGAAGGGAGCTGAGTTGCTGAATTACTGCTGGGAGAAAGGAACATGGACCTGAGTTGTTGAGTCATTGCTGATAGGGGGTACAGAGGTGCTTAGTCACTGATAGGAGGGGCGAGGTGAGCTGTTGAGTCACTGCTAGGAGGTGTTAGTAATGTGTAATCCACCGCACTCCTGACCGGAATTCCATAAGATAGATGGGTGCTGGTATGACCTGCGGATGGCGCCGTGTTATCACAGAAATGTCCATAAGAAGTCACCCGCACTACAAGGTCCAATATGCTGAATGCCTCTTTTATTCAGACGTTATACAGACATGGCGGCACAGTGTAAAAGCAATGTTTCGGGACCGAACATGGTCCCTTCATCAGACAAACACAGTGAGGAGGTGGCAGCCTGAGGAGCTGAACTACTGAGTCAATGCTGGGAGAAGGGAGCAGGGGAGCTGCGCTTCTGAGTCACTGCTAGGAGGTGAGACCAAGGGAAGCTGAAAAACTGAATCACTGCTGGAATAAGAGAGCAGGGGGGAGCTCCAGAGTAACTACGGGGAGGGGGGAGCTGAGCTGCAGAAAGAAGTGAATTGACTGTGAACATTGAGGATAAATAAGTCCACAGTGCCTGCAGTTACAGAGGTCAATAAGAGTTTGTTTAATAAGGTCAATTGCTGCTTGTTAATAATAAATAAATACTTATGTCAGGCCTGTGACCCTAGCCTGGTCACAGGCCCTGACACAGGCCTGACATTTTAAAGAGGGGTACCATTTATGAAAACACTTTTCAGTAACTAAAGCATCATTCAAGGTCAGGGGTAGGCAACCTTGGTACTCCAGCTGTTGTGGAACTACAAGATCCATGAAGCATTGCAAGACTCTGACAGCTGCAGGCATGACTCCCAGCCCCGGCCTCGAGGGCAGCAGGGAGTAGAGGGGCAGCAGGGGTTTGGAATTCCTATCTCCCGACGCCTGGTACATGCAGTTCCGGGCGCCGGGCGGGTAGTTGTTTTCTACATTTAGCCTGCTTTGGCGAGGCAGGGCTAAATGTACAGCATGGAAGCATGTACAAGTGATCTTGGTGATGACACCGAGATGTCTTGTATGCAGCCTGCATACAGGGGGGTGCATTGAGGTACCTGGCATTGGGGCAGCAGCAGAGAGAGCAAATCCGGCCCTGGAGGCAGAGGCATTATGGGATTTGTAGTGCGGAGGTTGCCTACCCCTGGTCTAGGTTAAAAACTCTCCTAAATTGCACAGCTGAGTGAGAATCTGAAATGAGCAACTTGAACGTTGTGTCTTCTCTTTCATCCTGACACTCCAGACGTCTGTGATTGCCGACTCTTTTCTCTTATGGAGCTATTACAAGAAAGGCGAGTAAACAGGAGAAACAAGGGCCCTGCAAGTGTCATTAATAAACTGTGAAAGCAGCGGGAAATTAGCAGTCTTTAACCGGCAAATCATTATGTGGCAAATACAAGATATTAGCAATGCAAAATGAGCCATTGGGGGGTCAAAGAAAGGAAAGTGACGGCGTGTAGCATTTTATTGTTTATAGAGAATCATGAGAATGAAAGTGTGATTCCAAGTGACATGCCACTACCATCGCACTTCGCTTTTTGTGGCTTAGAAATAGCTTACGTGTTTACTTTGCTTACTTAGGCCTTTATCGAAAAGGAATACCCGCTTATGAAGATGGAGAGGTTATCCTTCTCCCAACCCCTGGCAAGAAATTGTTTAAGCTACGTCTGCTGCGGCTGCAAATAAAACACAATTGTAGCTGAGTGGTTGTGCTGCAAGCGACAATTTCTCTAGTAAGTTAGGTTAAAGAGGAACTCCACGAAATGCAAAAGTTAACCCTTGCAGTGGGGCTGCTCCCGCTGCTCATTTTGGTGTAGGGGCTAAAATAAAGAAAATATACTAATCTGATACTGAGTCCCGCAGCCTCTTCTCTACTGGACTCCAGTGGTCTAAGGACAGCTGACGCCATCTCGTCTATTGCAGCTGCCGAGGGACATTTCACCGCCTAAGCGGAGGGGTTGTGAGGTGAGCGCTGAACCAAGGATTTTGTTTTTTGTAAATTTTGGCTAACCCGTGCAAATAACCCCTTTAAATGTTTAAAAGAGAACTATGGGGTAAGTGTCAGTGTCAGTCTTGGGGATGGATGCCGTCAGAGAGAGGAGGGGACATTCACCTGGCGGGATAAGGTATGCCGCCGGGTCCCCTCCTCTCTCCTGACACTGTCGGGCTCTCGGTCTGTGACCGAGTGCCCGACATTTCATAAGGGGTGACACCAAAATGACTCTCAGTCATTTTGGTGTCACCCCTCCAATGGTGGCACCCGGGTGCGGTCCGCACCCCCCTTGTGACGCCACTGGTAAGTGTTTTTCCCCATAGTTCTCTTAAAGCTAAACTCCAAAGACATTTTTAGAAAATCTCTCCCCTCCGTCCTGTTTAAAGAAAAGTCTTTAAGCAGTAGTGATACTCTCCAAAGTCCAGTAATACATTTCTCATTTTCCTCCAGCCTCAGCCATCTCTCATCGTCCTAGGTGAATAATGGCCAACATCATTCAACTCATTTCCTGTGACGTCAGGGCATCAAGGACATACCCTCTGGGTGGGCATCATCAAGCTGCCATGGGCTCAGGAGAATGATGCAGAGAACATCAATCAATGATGTATCATTAGGACTGCCAGGGGAACTGAAGATTTGGGGGCGGGGGTGGGGGGTCTTACCAACCTCGAGTCAGGGTTTAAGCTGCCTGCCCACCAACATACAGAAGGGATATACATGGGAACCCAGCTGCAGCAAATAAAAAGGTTCTATCTGTTAAGGTTTCCTCCAGTTTGCACATTAATAGTTTCTAGTGCACGTTGCTAAATGTAAATAGGAATCTGACTGATGGGTGCAGGCAATGGAGGCACTTCAAATGACTGATTGGTATAGGCAATGGAGGCACTTTAACTTCTATCTATCTATCTATCTATCTATCTATCTATCTCTCTATCTCTCTATCTATCTATCTATCTATCTATCTATCTATCTATCTATCTATCTATCTATCTATCTATCTATCTATCTATTTATCTATCTATCTATCTAACTATCTATCTATCTATCTATCTACTGTATATATTCAGAGGATACGCTGTATATTTATATGTGATATAGAAAATGTGTGTATAATATTAACCTTGTTTGGGGTCACATTTGACATTTCATGGGGTGGATTGATTATGAACTATTTCGGAAACCCGGCATTGCCTATTGCTTACCAAAGACACTTGTCTGTTTCAGGTTATCATCAGGTCAAGCAAGGCACATGTGAGGTGGTCGCAGTTCATCGATGCTGCAATAAAAATCGTATCGAGGAGAGATCGCAAACTGTGAAATGTTCATGTTTTCCAGGACAAGTAGCTGGCACTACCCGAGCGCAGCCATCTTGTGTGGAAGGTAAGTCATGTTGTGGGTGGGTGAAGGACTCATTACTGACAAGTAGAATGTCTTTGTAAATGATGCAAAAAATTTACATTTCTATACACGCCGTATTCTTTTGGTTTAGTTTGTATGAAGACATAGCAATATATAGGAGATATCCACACTTTTCCACAAAAAAAGTTCATGCCATTGAATGCAAGGAAAGTCAATATTGCTGAAGGCAATATAATTATATGGGCTATACCTCCATTATAAATTTACATAAACCAAAATAAAGAACCCAATCACCACCAATAGATGGAGTGTGTAACTATCTATAGGAACGTGACCCTCAGGAACGTGCGGTCAGGGGAGGCAGAGCCTCACCTAGAATTATGGAGGAAAAAGCTGTCAGCTTCATGTCTGAAGCTGACAGCTTTTTCTCCATTCAGATCGGTATCTAACAGGTTACACAGCCGGGAAATCCTCCCCGCTGTGTAACCTGTTAGATACCGATCTGAATGGAGAAAAAGCTGTCCGCTTTTTCCTCCATAATTCTAGGTAAGGCTCTGCCTCCCCTGACTGCACGTCCCTGGGGGTCACATGCCTATAGATAGTTACACACTGGATCTACTCCCCGCTGTGTAACCTGTCATGGAAAGAGCGGCTCTGTAGGCAGTGAGGAGCAAGTGAGGCACATGGAGTCCTGCTTTATACCCTGGGCTTCTTGTTTTCTGTTCTGCACCTGCACTGAGTTCAGTGTTTTCCCTGGCCGGGTATCCTTTAAGCATTGCTGGTTCTGATGCACTTTCCTGTCTACATTGAATATCTACTCATCGCCCTCCAACCCATACAGCAGAACTCCATGCTCTTTTTTAGATTTGTCCCCCTCCTTTCTGTCTGCCTCTGCCACTGACCATGTCTAGTCCAGTGTCATTCTACCTCTTCCTGTGAGCACAGGCTGTCATGGATACTCCCACTGGGGGTGCATCATAACACCAGTGCTCACAAGACTGCTGGCACTGACATGTCATTATGTAAGCACCACACTACAGTGGAAGGACTGCACACTTCCACCATCGGGCAATGATCCATGACGTTAAAGAATCAGGCAAAAGGCAGCTGCAATTAAGTTGTGTATTTAAGGATATAAAACAAAGGGGGGTGAGTAGGTTTCCAGGGAGAGGGGATTGAGGCTGGAGATGGCCTATCATGTTTTAATTCAAGTAAAGTTAATCTTTATAAGACTGAGAACTTCAGCTCTTTTGCTATATGGCCCCATTACACAATAATACAGCTTTTAGTTATATATGAACAGACCGCACTACCCAGAGAATTCCAATCCTTCAGACTCTATTGAAATTCACAGCAAACCCAATATAACAGTGTATGTAACAGCAAATACCAGCACCGCTGGTTATAGCTGGTTGGGGGCTTGTGGTGCTGGTATTTGTTGTTACATAGACTGTTCTACTGGATTTGCTGTGAATTTCAATAAAGTCTGAAGTATTGGAATTCTCTGGATAGTGCGGTCTGTTCGTATACTACTACATGCCAAGGTGGAGATACACCTATTAGACCAGCACCTGGGGAGTCCTGTTAGCGGCTAAGGGATTGGAGCGGTGAGATTTCTTTTGGCTCTACAGCTTTTAGTTAAGGTGGTTGAGCGACTTCTTGGCTCCTTATATACAGTATCTTGGATTTTTCAGCAGCGAGATCTCTCTATCATAATCCCTAAGTGTCGCAGTCCATCTGTGAGTTTTGGATTTCCTGCCAAAAAAAGTATAACCCCCCACCACCACCACAGTAGGTGTGCAGACCAAGAAAAGCACAGATATCTCACCAATGGTCTTTTATATCCGTATAGTGTGTCCATGCACATTGTGGCATTGAGAGCAGAGTTCTGGGATATAAAAATAAAACCCTGAATTCATGGAGGTGCATACTGGTGTAACTTGCATGTAAATGGGGTGAAAAGGGGGGAAAAGGGGTGTGCACCTGTAAATTAGTTCTAGTGGCTAGAATAAAGCCGTTAGAATGAATTTACGTGTGCAGGCTTCTAAATGCTCTACACACATAAATCTACTTTATGTGCTATAACACACTTTTCATGCTGGATCATTCTGCCCCTGCTAATAAGATCCAGTGTAGATATTATTATTTGATTATGACCTTGTGCATGAGCCCTAACTCTCTGGCATCTACAAAAAACTGATATATGAGTTTTGGGTAGACCAACCTTTTAAATTAGTGTTTTTTGATAAAAGACGCCCCAGTACTGAGAGCTAAGCAGTTCCAAAATTACAGCTATCAATGCAGTGTTATATTTACTATCACTGTTTTATCAATAATTACTTACCAGGCGCTTTTGATGTCTGTATAAGTTATTAGGTAGCCAGACATTACTGGGCTTCTGTTCCGTTGGGGTCCTGAGCAGTTGCATAGTCTATTATGGCTCTAATTATGCCCTTGGTATCCAGATCACAATTCTCACTCCTTTGCCAAATGGGAACTCCTGTTCACATCCCTGACACCCAGCCAGACATGAATTCCAGTGAGGAGATCCTGCTGCCAGACAGAGTAGCCAGCTGCCCAAAAATTCACGCAGTCCATAAAAAAAATGGAGACTAATTAAGATTTCCTTTAAGACTCTGAAAAAGAAATGTACAGAAAAATTATAGCGATTTTTTTTTTTTTTAACGGCATTTGAGCGTCAGCCAGTAATTGTCCCCTTATGTGCTTATGTGATACAAATTCTAATATTTATTTGGTGGTAAACTCCTAATGCTTCACTCGAGGCAGATAGAAAAAGGCACAAATGAATGCAGTTCTCTATTCATTAAGACACCATGAAATGTATTTTTATTAAATGCAAGCGGTGAAAGTACCAGAATTTGACTTGATATTAGCTTCTTGCAGTCCCTGTACAACAGAGCTCTGACTGGTAGAAATAGAAGCAGCATGAGGAGTTGCATCTCTCAGTCATGAGAAGTGACTGAGAGATGAGCTCTTCAGTCTCTTTAGTCACATGTTGTGGAGGGAAAAAACCTTTATCCTTTACTTTAGGCTCCATTCACACATATCGGCAGCGTTTTTCTGCGCAGTTTAACATCCACGTGGATTCCACATGTTTGCGGCTATTTCTATAGCCTGAACGTGCGGAATCCGCCCAATAGAATCGCGCTTGTACTATTTTGCGGGAAGCGTGGTTTCAAAACCGTGTGGCTGCCACAAAAGTCTGAACAATGCACATTGCAATGCATTGTTTTTTTATGTTTAGAGTGGCACTGTGCATATTTGTATGACCGAATATGCGTGGAAAATCGCTCATGTGTGAATGGAGCCTAACTGCAGCAGAGAATAATCAGTTCTCCTGCCCTGCCAGATCCGGATGGACAGAATACAAATTCTTTAAGGGCTGGCGCAGACCTGGGCGATAAATGGGGTTACATCCGTGCAGCAATCGCAGAAAAAAGGTACATGTACCTTTTTTGCGACATACGACTTGCGGCTGTTTTCGTGTTCAGTTGCACAGGCAGAATCGCGGCGAAAAACCGCGCGATCCACTCAGCGCAACTGGGGTGCCATTAGAAAATAATGGCACCAACAGCGAGATCGGCAGTGGTGGGGGATTCTGTGACCAAGCGGCCATCTGTGCAGTTTCGTGCACCATTGCCGCGTGGTCATGGATCGCCATAGTGTAAACCTGGCCTGATGGGTGAAACAGCTCCCACAGATGTATTTTATCAGTGTTTTTATATATTTGCTTTAAATAGCAGAACATCCTCTGTATGTCATCCAATACTTTATACTGGGTGCTGCATTAGTAGACAGGACAGGACAATTTTTGGGAGAAATTTTGAAGCCCTCATTAACTTAGCCCTCCTTCTCAACATGTTTAGCTATTAAAAACCTTTAACTGGTGATATGTTCTATGCTGAAGGTCCACCCCAGACATTGCAATGCTTGCATTAAAAATTATCTAGTTTTTAAAATGTTCCTAAAACTATGACTGATGTACATTTCACTATATGGTCAGAATTGACCAACACACCTATATAGGCTTGTTGGCCATCCCATTTCAAAACCATGGGCATTAATATGGAATTTCCTACCTTCATCTGCTGCTTTAAACGCCTTCAATCTTCCGGAAAGACGTTTTCTGTCCATCCAGGCAAAAGATCATTTGTAAGAACAGGTACTGATATTGGATGAAAATACCTGGCTTGCAGTCAGCGTTTCAATTCACCCCAAATGTGTGATCTCCCTACTGGCTCAGTGACTAAAAACACAGCGCCCACTGTTTCAGTTCCGGTGCTGCACTCGGGGTGATTAGGGTGTGCCCAGGCACACCCCCTGTGCTAGCCCCTTTGCATGCCTATGGTGTCCACACACTTTTGGGTAGATGTGGTGGCCAGAGGTCTACAAACATTTGTCAATTTTCATTCCTCTGCCATCCCTTTCACCTTAGAGAGTGTAGAGTTAAACCCTTATCACCATATAGTGCAGATAGTATGATCTATAAATCTGTCAGGAAGGAGTTACATGTACAAAGCCGCTTTCTTACATTTACAGTTATGGAGTTATGGACAGCATGGAGCTGTCTGTGAGTCTCTTGGGTAGTTGTATACAAAATAAACAGATTTTGGGTTGGCAACCCTGAGCCCCCTTCCCAAGTAATCTATATTAAAAAATCAAGCAAGTGAATCTACAGGCATTCACCCAAAACACAAATGTTATTCACAGGTCTTTTTTTTGGTATAGTAAAGCTTTGCCCGTCTTTACAAACCTTTTCCTCTACCATGTGATTCAGACATTGATCAGTAGAGGGAGCTTCGCCTTCATACAAATTGAGTCACACTTTAATATGAAGCTACAGGTGAAACTCGAATAATTAGAATATCGTGCAAAGTTCATTTATTTCACTAATGCAACTTAAAAGGTGAAACTAATATATGAGATAGACTCATTACATGCAAAGCAAGATAATTCAAGCCGTGATTTGTCATAATTGTGATGATTATGGCTTACAGCTC